TCATTAACAGAAATGCCATGCCCAGCCCTGTAAGAACAGGACAAAGTACGTATCACTATCCACTGGACCACAAACTCAGAAACACCAGGTGCTCAGTGCAACTGAGCGTGTTTTCCCTGATGCAAGAATATACGTGGTCGTAGAGCCTCAGAGACTAGTTTCAACCTCCTCCTGTTTGGGGTACCAGCCCTCACGAGCAGTTTATATATTCATAATCACGAAACAAGTGATTCTGAATCATTAATAGAAATGTGGCTAGCCAGGACTCGATCCTGTGTCGCCATGCCCCAAAGAGGATGAAGTTGAAATTAGTCTTCCAGGCTCCATGACCACATATGTTCTTGCACCAGGGAAAACACGCTCAGCTACACTGAGCGCCTGGTGTTTCAGAATTTGTGGTCCAGTGGATAGTGTGATGTGTACTTTGTCCTGTTCTCACAGGGCTAGGCATGGCGACGCAGGATCGAGTCCTGGCTAGCCGCAGTTTTGTTATTAATATATATATATATATATATATATATATATATATATATATATATATATATATATATATATATATTATATGAATAATGGCTACATTACAGTGTGTTACTATCCTTTTCTATACAATTTTACATAGTGAGAATAAAAGCCAGACGTGTTTTCCCTGTTATATTCCATCACTGGCTGCTGGGTCACATATATGGTTAGAGTCAGTCAGCCTGAGCTATGTGACAGGGTTATCAGGATATATTTTATAATTTTTTTTTAAAGAGGTAGACCGGTGAGCCAGCGAAAGGCCTTGGTCAGATGACCAAAACCTCTAGCTGCGGATCATCATATGACAAAGACCCGCGTCAGTCAGGAAACGCTTGTCCCGTTTCCTATCACAAGTTATATTACACTGATGGATCTAAACGGGAGTCTTCTGGCAGGGCTGTATCTGCTCTTGTTGCCACCTCCCTTACTAAGAACGATAATTATTTTGTCGAGTTAGGCATAGGAATTAACTGGGCGTCTACACAGCAAAATGAATTGTTTGCGATCCTAATGGCGGTAACGCTAACTTATGACACTGAGCCTGACTATCATCATTACTGATTCTATGTTATCATTGAAGGCTCTCGACTCGCGCTCACTGGAGAAGCCAGGTACAAATACTAAAAAATCCGGTAGAAAGGAATTAATGGACAATTGCTATGGATTCCATCACACATTGGATTACTCCTTCATGATAAAGTTGATATGTTAGCCAAGAAGAGTACCCAGAGGGAAAATGTAGAATATAACTTTGGTATATCTGTGTCTAGCATTAGGAATAATATTAGGAGAGAAGTAAATAATGAAAATGAATCTTATAGGAATGCAATTATAAGTCTGAGTAGATCTATAACCCACTATAACATGAACGTAGATAAGCATGTTTATGGAGCAACTTGCAATGTGAACAGACTAGTATGTTTATGGAGCAATGTGAACTTGCAATGTGAACAGACTATCTGATGTTGTAGTGGCCAGACTTAGGCTTGGTTACAAGTACTTCTGGCAGTTTGGGAGAGACACAGATGATGATCAAACTAAATGGAAATTATGTGATCAGGCATATGGTCACTGTCTTGAAAATTATGTATGTGCTCAATTGTCCACTTATTGAGGAATACAGAGATAGACAGTATAATATCCTATGTGACATGTCAAGATATCTTATTAATGAAAATAAGATACCAGATATACTAAGCAAATTTCCAAAATTTGCTTCTAACAGATAAGTGAACTGTAGATATAAATCCAAATGCACACCTGTAACCCTTTTGGGGCCTAGTTCCTAGGCCTTTTGTGTATCCATATGCTCTTGCGCTACCGTCCACAGGATGGATATGGGGTGCACAATAAACTAGTCACTTCGGTGGCAAAATCTCTAAATCTGACAAACCTTACCTAACCTGTTATCAGAAAATGGAATGAAGGGGAGAGGAGGAAGATGCCGGAAACCCAGGGAGTACAATGTCACCTTGGTACTTGACAACCAAGAGTGGAACCCAACCTCCCGCTTGACACCACAATAGTTTCGGAAAAGCCCACCTGGGCGCTACGCTATTTTAAATAGTATTTTTCTTATAATCATACGTAGATGCTGGCACTCTGATGGATATTAACCATTCAAAGAGAAATTCCCGGTGCAGAAAAAAAAGCGAAGAACGGTAGTGCGTATATATCGACCTCCAGGTGTATACAGCTGGTAGTGCGATATATACGCACTACCATTCTTCAGCAGAATATGTTCTGCAGAACAGAATCTCAGACTGAGGTCGAAGTATACGGACTACCGCTCATCTTCGTCTCAGTGCGAGACTCCCGCTCTCTCACACACGTTACGTAACCTACGGTTTAAGTACTGCAGTGAAGTTTCCTCATTACATATATCGTCAGGACCTAAATGGAATCCTGCCAACGTTTCTGAAGACAATCGTAGAACAAGCTTTTATTGCAACGATGTTTCGCTCCATGTAGTGTAGCTCTTGTTTCGCAATGTTTTATCGCATATCGTCTGGACACTATCAGGTATCCTCTCCGGTGGCGAGGCTTCACAAGTGCTCATCCTCAGGTATACCCCTGGTGGCGAGGCTTCACGACAATGTTCATCAGGTATCCTCCCTGGTGGCGAAGCTTCACGACAGTGATCATCATCAGGTATACCCCAGGTAGCGAGGCTAGAC